ATGGCTCGAGAGTGGTTTTTTGGGGAAAAAGTGGGAGATCGAGGAGAGGGAGGGTTGTGCAAGCGGCTAGATGTTGAGAAGGGGGGTGTCGTATTTTGCATTCTCCTCAACGACAGGACGTGCCCTGTTTTTGAATCATTCCCCTTTTCTGCTGCCTTTCGGGCTTCCTTTCTTTTGATTAAATTTCTCCTCGAGTTTTCTTTTTCTGTAATATTTACGGGCGGAGGTGGTGTAGTGACAAGTGGCGCGCTCACCACTCGCGCGGTCCTGGGTTCGAATCCCAGGTCGACACCCGCCCAGGCCAACCAAGCCTTCTACCCCCGGGGACGGTAAATTGGTACCCAGATTCGTCTGGGAGGATAAAACACTGACTTGTACATCGGCTGGCCCCGCAAGTCATTGTATAGGCCACATCGCATTCAATAAGCCACTACGATTCTGAATGGAAGTAGAATGCGTGCCGCATCCCACAAAGGGATTGATCAACGGACTTTATCCTTCATTTTTTTATGGTATTTTAGGCTCCCATTTAAGCTTGCTTGGGCGTCTCAGCGGTGTCCCTTGAACAGATTCCTTGATGGATACAGCAGTGAATGTACGGCTCGAATTCGAGCCGTTGCCAAAAATTGGCAGGGAAGCGTCGGAGAGTGCCCAACTAGTCCCAATGGGCGCTGAGAGTTGCTGGCCTAGAGTCAAAACCTACGTCTGGTTGTTGTTGCGAAGGAAAGTCAACTACTAGACCGCCAACTCACACTCCTCACCGCTCCCTGGGAGGGGTGGACGTCGCAGTGGTGCGTCGCCCAGCTGAACCACTTCACTAGTGCGCCGTAGACTGAACGGCGGCACCCTAGCAAACATCTCTCCGCTGTGAACAGCAGCTTTTTGCTCCACCCCCAACATTCTTTGCCCCCAGGCACGCTGCACGAATTCCTGTTTGACTGCTTTGCAGGGAAGGGGCGCGCAGTGGGTACACTTACGACTTCAAATCGATCTGCCGGTTCAGTTTCGCGAAATTGATTCGCGAAATGTGGTCAGAAATCGAAGAAATAAATTATGTCAAGAATGGGGACTTAGGCATTTGTCTGCCTTTTCGAGATGAGCCGTGCATTTGGTTCCCATTTGGGACACGCGCGGACGTCCCGTAACAACCCCTACCCTTCGCGCTAACTAAACAGCCTTCTATGGGCTATCCTTTGTTAGCTAAACAACGGCTTTCAAATCTACAGAGACATTAATTTAACAAAAAGAATGCCTAGACGGCTTTCGGGATGCGATCAGAGCTGGGTACGGATATCCTATTGTTTACTTTCATGTTTGTGTTGTTATTTGTGGGTGGTGTGGTGACAAACGGCCGCCGCCTTACTCACCGCCGCGGCGCGAGATCAAACGTCGGATCAACCCCCAATCCAGAGCCGAATTGAGCTTCCTTCCTTCCAACTTGTTGTACCAGGCCCTGCTGTTGGGAATGAATTTGTCAGTACGACTCGCCTCGAAATCCGCTCTTCTGGCACTACCCCATCCCCATCCTAGCATCTTCCCAAGTTTTTCCGACTTGCTACCACTTTTCCACAGTTCTTTCCGAAAAAAATCACCTTTTCCCCAAAAACGAACTGCCGTTGAGACAGGGAGGACGTGGAGGGAGGGGGGAGCCGAGTATATAGCACCTCAAAACAGGAAAAACCGGAAAAGTCAACGAGTGAAAACATTTTTCCCAAAAAACAAATACGACCCTCACTCCCTCCAGCTCCTCACTGGGGATCACCGACGTACGAGGTGCCTGACCGTCGTGGTTTGGTGTGTGAGTGGCGCCGATTACGACGCAGGCGGTCCCAGGATCAAACCCCGTCGCGGCCAATCAAGCCGCCTTTCCGGATTGGTTGACCCCACACTTGTCTGCTAGGATAGACACCCTTACTTGGCACATCGGCTGACACACACAGATAATTGCGCAGGCGAAATCGCATCCAGAATACCGGGAAACGGACAGGACAGTCGTAATTTGTCACGTGGTGTATCGTGCGGCGAAGCGCGGCAAATTTTTGATGTGCATAGATTCTTTGATTGAAGTAGCGAAACCCATACAAACCTAAGCAGAGAGCAACTTAGCTTCAAAAGCGGCGAGGCCAACTCGTTTATGGGACGCCGCGTCGCTCGCCACGCACACCGCCGCGGCATATTACGATTGTCTTGTCACATGCCCAAAAAGCCATGGCGATCTCGAATGGAAGCAGAAGGCGTGGCTATCCCAAAGAAAATTGATCAGAGAGCTTTATCTTCTATTTGTTTATGTCACCCTAATGAGCTATTTTAGTTCCCTGAAAAGATTGGACCACACAAGGTAAAGACCGTAAGGGACCTCACGATTGGCTACGACAACTCGCAACCAGGAAATAAGCCCGTATGTTTTCGAACGCCTAACGCTCACCAATCTTTCGGAACATAAAGTCTCATTCTGCAGGTACTACCATTGTCGACCTCTGCTGAGATGATTACCTTCAACCTGGAAAACGGTAGTGTCGCAACCCTGCGCGCATCTGGTACTGAACCGAAAATCAAGTACTATATCGAGTTGAAGACAGCTCCTGGCAAGAAAGAAAGGTACGCTAACCTCTAGGTTTGTGCTAAATTCCTCCACTAACTTCCATCGTTCCAGCGACCTCGCCGATGTATTAGCCGATCTTGAAGATCTTGAGACAGCCGTAGTAGAGACGCTATTACGACCGAAACAATTCGGTTTGATTGCTCGTAAATAATCGACTAGATCATTCGTTCATTCGCAACTTCCTAGTACTAATTTTTCTTGTGACCATGACATGATTTTCAACTGTTGGTGGTGCCAACGACTTATTTCGCTTAATTATTAAATATTAACCAATCTGTGATCTGCCCGTAATTCCTTTATACTACTAGAGAGTGTTTTACCGTCAGTGCCTCTTTCAGTGATAAGTGGGCCAATAGATTCTCTCTTTCTCTCTCACAATGTGGTTCCACCTTTGTACGATTTCATTGCCAATATTGATATCTTCCTAGTGAATCGTGAATGGGTTTCATTAAGTTAATAAAGATTGTCATGATTATAATTCATGTTCACTTTACGGGAAAGACGAGAATTCATGAAAGACCTTTGCGAGAGAGGCATGATGTCTCAGTGGTAGACCAAGCACGATCCCGGGATCACAGGTCTTGCGTAGAAGGTATCGATCCAGATCCAGAAATCGAATTCCAAATGCCCGACTTGGCATTAAAGAAAAAGCGGACAAAAACCGTCAAAAATACGCCAAAAGAGTCTCCATCTGCTTGGTTTTGAGTATTGGAGGATATGGGAAGAAGCGAGAGGCCAAAGGCCCTGCGAGCGCGCGAGAGATATGAGAGGAGAACGGCTAGCGAACAGAAAGACAAGTGAGATGACAGACACCACCAAAAAGATACGATAACTGTCCTTCACGAGTGCCTCGCCTATCTGAGTGGTGTCGACAGGCGGTGCTTAGGGTAGCCCGCCACGAGCTCGGAAGCCTTTTCGATTTGGAAGTTCTGTGACTGCGGTATCGGACTTCATGCCACAAAGAAGGGCGCTATTTACCCTTCACTGCCCCAATCCTCCAAAAACAGTTTTTGACCGACTTTTTTCTGCTTGGCAAAATTGGCTAGAAAATTCGTTTCCTAGGGTAGTTTGACCTCCTGAACATGAATATCACATCCGCTCGTTACGAAACCTGGCGCCACGCAGGCGCCGGCGCAAAATACCCTAAATCACCAAATCCGCTGAAAATTTGTTCTCACGGTAGTCTCACCTCGAACACGATCACTTCCGCTCGGCCCGAAACCCGGCACCCGCGCTACCGGGGCTGGCGCCAAAATATCCCAAGTCACGGTGCCTGTGGCGCGGGCGCCAGGAGTTTCGGGCTAAGCGAATGTGATATTCGTATTCAGGAGGTCAAACTACCCCAGGAGACAACATTTGAGCCAAATCTGTCCACGGAGAAAAAAGTCGGTCAGAAACTGGCTCAATTCTGGATGGTTGGGGCAGTAAAGGACAAACAGTGCCCAAGGAAGAAATTCTACCTAATCGGCAACCGCATAACCGCAGAATGTATCTCTAAGTGTGGGTCGTACGTTCAGAAGTGGACGATTTTTGATCTATAGACAGAAATTGGTTAATTACAATTGAAAAACTGCATAGTGCACCCAAGCTTTTCGTAAGTTTGTGCCAGAGCGCAAGACCTGCTTTGAAATAGAAAACAGAATCGAACATTGCCTAGCTCTCACCTGACTGCAATGGCTGATTTTAGTGGTACTCGAATGCAGACCATATTCTCCTCGGTGAATCCTTACCGTAGGAGTCGTACTTTGTCGCAGGGGGTGGGACAGTCTCTGACTTTCGCTTTGGTGAAAAGGGTTCCACACTGAATGGCCTTGGGAATTTTGGAAGCAATAGAAGAACTGAGGTCTCTAACTTTATCTTTTTTGCTTTAACTTCTCGCTCACCTCCCCATGACCTCAGCAACAAGTTCTTGTTGCTAACTGGAAATGAGAAGATGAACTTTTTGGGGCGAAGGGATCATTGACGGGAACAGCAACGACTAGGAGGTGATTGATTCTGCCGATCCGGTGAGGTAGAGAACCAATGTGCTTTCTAGGCTGGCGGACCCTTGCTTACAAGGGAATGGTTTCAACTTCCCATGGAACTTTGAATGGAGACCTAGGTACATCGATAGAGCTCGGAATGCTGATTACGAATATGCAGATTAAAAGTGCTACGGGGACCTCCCAGACGAGTTCTGGGCGGTCAAAGTTTGCGAAAACTCAGTTTTGGCTCGTAAGCGCTGCTGATCGATTGCTAGGCAGTGCCACCACCGTGGCCTAACGGTCTCGCTTCGAAGTCAAATGCTTGTGGGTTTGCATCCCGTTGGCGCGAAAGTTTTTGCTTCGTCTCCTATAAGAGCTTTTACTCTAATTTTCAAAATTCTTCCGAACCCAGAAGAGCAAGTAGATCAAGCAGATCAAGTATATGACGTACTTGATCGAGTATGGATTTGGTCACTACCTACCCTCTCTGAACTCACTACCCATCCGACAATTCGAAGTTTCGGCCAGAAACTGGGTTCCCTAAGGGTTTGACTGCTGAAACACGAAATATCATATTCCGTTTGACGAGACAACGCTTGCTCACGTTGTGTGTCGTCCAACTGAACGAGGGAAACGAATGGTTTCACATCAAACGGATGTGAATATTCTGGCTAGGGGTCAAAACTCCCTCAAAAACGAGTTTTTGGCCAAATTGTGATTCTGGCCAAAACTTCGAATTGTCGATGGTAATGAGTTCAGAGAGGGCAGATAGTGACCAAATCCATACTCGATCGAGTACGTCATATACTTGATCTACTTGCTCTACTGGACCATAGACTCGGAAGAGTTTGAAACCCCATTAGAGTAAAAACTGTTCAGGCCGCGTTCATACAGACGGCATCCGCGGCATCCGTGGCCTCTGCGGAATTTTCAGAGCAAGCAAAGTATACGTATCGATTTGGAAAATTCCGCGCAGCCTCCGCGGAGGCCGCGGCCTCTGCGGCCAAGCGCGAAGCGTACGCGTCGCGGCCTCTTGGTTGGGACGCCGAAACTTATTCGGAACTTGATAATCATGCTGTAATTGAAGACACAAAAAAGAGACACATTTGGAAATTCCACATGCAGATAGCTAATGTGATAAGGTAACTCCACAATAGCACATACTGAATCCGAATTCATTTCCAACGCTCGGCGCGAAAATATTCCTTTTTTGCGACCTTTTCCCGCGCTCCACCTGAATGAGGCGAGAGTATTTCATGAAATTTTAGGGTTTATCTTGAAAGTAAACGAAATAGCGAAGCCTTACCAGCTTCTGCAATAATAAATTTCTGAACTATTCTCAATTTTTTTTTTTGGCGTACAAACGCCTAGGCATTTAGGCGCATTCTTCGAAAATAGGGAAAAACTGCTTTGTCCCACGCGGCAGACACGCGAAATGGCGCCTTGTCGCCAATGTGTTAAAAAGGGACACCCAAGGGCGAAATTTTGCTGCAGTTGAGTTCCCATTTGTTGGGACCAGTTGAACCAGATCAGCTGAAACCCATTTTTCAAGGTATTGATTGCGTTCGAGCGTCCCCATCAAGAGGCCGCGACGCATACGCTTCGCGCCTGGCCGCGGCCTCCGCGGAGGCCACGGAGGCCACGGATGCCGCGGATGCCGTCTGTATGAACGCGGCTATAGGAGACGAAGGCAAAACTAACGGGATGCAAAACCCACATGCATTTGCCTTCGAATCGACATCGGTAACGATGGTGCCACGGTGGCACTACCTAGCGATCGATCCGGCTCTGACCGCCCAGAACTCGTCTGGGAGGTCCCCGTAGCACTTTTAATCTGCATATTCGTAATCAGCATTCGAGACTCTATCGATGTACCTAGGTCTCCATTCAAAGTTCCATGGGAATTTGAAACCATCGCCTTGTTAGTGCAGATGAGGAAGCAATGGTTTTCTGTCCCCCCCCCCCCCTCATATAATGGGCTGCGCTTTTCACGATCGCGCGTGCTTCTCGTCTATTTCATGACCTTTTCTTTCACACCGACGGGGAAACTATCGTACAAAAGGACTGCGACCTTAATTTGCTCAACGACCTTCGATAAATTACTTTATCACGTATCCGTATAATACAAACACACTTGAAGACCCATAAATAACCACAAGCGTTATTCACAGAGGGTGAAATTATGGTTTTTGGGATAGTATCCATGAAATCACAGATGACACCATTATTGCATGAAAAGCTCGAAGACACTATTAACAGTCGTTAGAAACATGCAAAGTGACCTTATGAATGCTTGTAGCAACAGATCATAGATATGAGTGTGGTTACTGTATGACGGTAATCGACGCATCCCATATCTCGGAGATGGAGTGGGCGTGGCTGCGCAGTACTGAGTGTGGCGGTGGCTGCGCTTTTGGTGCGATGTTTTCGTTCTGAGACAGTCGTACTCACGCCACCAAAAAGACAGAATGAGAGTTTCATCAAACTGAAACATTCTACAATAAACGCAGTCTACCCCATGTTCAAACGAAGTACGCAGCCACGCCTTCCCTATCTTCGGGATATGGACTATAGTTTGATTCTAAGAACAAATGTGAACATCTAACATACAAACGAATCACATTAAGGGTATCCTATAAGGATAACGGATATGTCAAATAAAGAGCGTAACAGGCTATTTTATTGTACGGCGATCTTCTTGAAGATCTCTGATAAAGCCGAATAAGTACCCGTAGTGAAACCAAGAAAGGCAAAACTGAGAAGAAATATGTTCTTAGCCCAGATCCTGGCCGACAGCTCTTGCTTTGCATAGCATGTCTGAAAGTACAGAACTTCAAGTGTACAGCGACAAAGTCAGGTAGGGG